CATAGAGACAAACGAGACAAACAACCATTCACGCTCTCACTCACACCTAGGGACAATTTAGAGTTACCAATCAAACTAACATGCATGTTTTTGGTCTGTAAGAGGAAATGCATGCACGGAGAGAACACGCAAGCTCCTCCCAGAAAGGCCCCTGGCCAGGATTCGATCCTGCGACCTTATCTGAGAGGCAACAGCTCTACCAACTGCACCACCGTCACAAATCTACACAATATATTTTTATTTTAGGATTGTTATCATAATTAAATCCAATAATTGAATCCGAAAAGTCAGGAAGGCTCTGTGATAAAAGCGACCTTTTAATAAGGGATTTAAAAGAGGTCACGACCTCGCTGACTCCTCCGGCGGCTCGGTCCAGAGTTCAGGAGCTCAGTCGTCTCTTGTTTTCTAATCTCTTGAACACATTTCTTTTTCTTTTTATCTTAAATTGCTGTTCTACTACAGATTTAAATAAAATCAAACTGGTTAATGTTTTAGCAACATTAAATTATGCCCTCTTCATTTCGTCCCTTTTAGTTTTCACATCCGTTTAACATTTCCTGTGGAACTAGTCATCTTTGTTAGTCCAGAGCAGTGGACAGGGATCTAAACCTGACTTGTTCCTTTAACAACCTTAAATGTGTTTGTTTGCACACCACAAATGGGATCACTCCTCTCTGAGCTGCCTTCATTTGAACAGAATGTTGCATTTCCACAGCTCCTCTGTTGATGGAGCCACAGCAGCAGAGTCAGCCTTGTTGCCTTCAGGGACCGCTCGTAAAAAGCAGCGTTAAACACCATTCTTTTGTTCTTTTCACACGAGGGGGTTGGTTCGCGTTGCATTCAGGGGGAAACACATTGAAGTGAAATTAAACTCGCAGATAAAACAGTGTACAGAGATTTATGGGTGTTTTATTGTTTAAAATCGTAAAAATCAAATATTAAAAACCATAACCTGAGGTTGTCACAGACAAGATGATCAGGTATTTTGTTGTTGTGATAAAATTAATTTGTAACATCCCAGGTGTTCGCTCTGCATCTTTAGGTTAACAGTTTCATCTATGTTCTTTTACTTTTGTGGTATTTCTGTGTTTCTCCTTTGAGTGATTTTGTTTCTTCCAGCTAAAGTTGTACCCTTATTTTGGTGCAGGGCTATTCAACTGGTGGCCCTGGGGCCAAATCAGGCCCACGGTGAGCTCAGTTTGGTCCACCAATGAGTTCATTTTTAAATAAAACTAGATTTTAAAGCGTAAAACAAACTTATTTAATGATAATAACTGCTGGATGTCCAGCCCCTGAGCTCTTGGCTCTCAGTAACTGTGGCCCCCCCTGGACGTTTTAGTTGAATAGTCCTGTTCTGGTGGTTTTGTGCATCTATCTGAGCATTTTGAAAGTGTTTGCATGTGTGTTTAATAGTTATTTTAAATATCTGCACTGTTTTTGTTTTTACCCTGTCAGTCTGGAACCTCCCTGCAGACACGAGACGGTCAGTTCTGTCTCATATTAATGTTTTATGTGTCTTTCATTTAAAAATTTGTAAACAACGGTGGTGATATCCACGGAGGAGCAGTTTGTGACAGAAAAACCACAAAGATGTTTATTTAAATTCAGATTTGATTAATAAAGTCTATAGACAAGGTCTTGCTTTTTATTTCTCTTCTAGCAGCATATTCACTTTTATATGAATGGAGTCTCAGAAGAGGTTGAGGTGCACCTCAACCTCTTCTGAGACTCCATTCTTGTCTAAATACAAAGTACTTCCGATTTGTTTACATCCACATAGTTTTTTGGCATAATGAGTGCTTCGTTTACGTTGAGTGCGTACCCACATTTCAGAACTGTAAATCAATAAATATGGAAAACTACTTTTTCAAACTGCACATCTTGATACAGTTTAGGTTAACCATTACTATGCGTGATGATTTAATTTTTTAATGACAAATCTGTACTCAGGAAATGTAATATTTAAAGATTGTACCAGAGTGATAGATGTGTAAATAAAATACTACAGGAAAACCCTGTGTACTTTAATACAGCACTAACACGAAGGGTGGAATGTGACCAAATAAAATAAATACTAACAATCACATAATAATTAAATGTATCATTTAATTATTCAATTCATTATTAAATCATTAAATATACAATTAAATTATTAAATACACAATTAATTATTTAAATGTCTCATGAAATACATAAATGTACCATTTAAATAATGACATTAAATACTGAAAAGTCATAATCAAGAAGAATAAAAAAAATAATAATTCTTGAAAATTGCATCTCATTATTTGTCATTATTTACATTTATTTATTTCATGGGACATTTAATTAATTAATTAATTAATTGTGTATTTAATCATTTTATTGTATATTAAATGGTTTAATGTGTACTGAATAACTAAATTAAACATTTAGTTAGTATTTATTTATTTAATTTTGTCACATTGCGCCCTCCATATCCTAAAGCAGACCTACAGGATTTGTATTTACAGCCCAAACTCAACTCAGATTACTTCCAGTCTTGAAGTTGCTAGAGTTCCCACCGTCCCTGAACGCACCAGGCTTGTTAAACCCTGCAGCTCAGAGTTTGAGGAGTCAGAAAGCGTCTGGATCTCGCTCTTCTGTAATGGTGCTCCCTCTTTTTTAATAAATGCCCCTTTTCTCTGTAGTTTTGAGACTTTTGGAAGTATGAAGCCAACAGCTGCGCAGCTGGAGACAGTCTGAGATGGAGAAAACCTTCACAGAAGATGACTGCGTGGATTCAGGAGCAGAGACTGGAGGGTGAGGAGTTTCTTGTTTTTCTCTGAAATAAACAACATAAAAACAATGACGAACCCCAAAATAAGGATTAGCTTTAATACAGAATTTAAAACCAGTCAACTTTATTTTCTTTGCGTATTGATGAGGTTAAACTCATTAGGAGGGAAAAGGTGTATTTATTGTATGCTACAGGGGCGATTCTAGAATCCGCCCTTTAGGGGTGCGCAGCCCCCAGTGTTGACAATGGCTCCTGGCTTGAACAATGCAGTGTCCACTGGTGTCAGAAGCATTTGTAATGTGTGTGTGTGTGTGTGTGTGTGTGGGGGGGGGGGGGGGGGTCATGGTCATCTCCCAGAAAAATTAGAATAAAATAGATGCCATTACCTGCATTCTGGTGTATTTTAACAGGTTTTTAGACGTCTACATATGTAAACACTTGATTCAGAGTTTAAGGGGGAGTGGTGGCGCAGAGGTTAGAAAATGGGCCTGTGATCGGAAAGTTGCAGGTTCAACTCCCGGTACCGTCAACATAAAAATGTGGGTGGAATAGGTAGAACACCCACACCTCCCTCCACCCTCATCTGCCCCACCCTGGGCCCCTGAGCAAGTCCCTTAACCCCCACCATCTGCTCCCTAAACAGGTCTCTCTTGAAAATGAGTTACTGTGGCTCAATGAGACTACCTGTATAAATAAACGGTAAATGGAAAAAAAAAAGATTAAAAAGCTAGTAGCCTGACCAACAGTTCTCCTTGTGTGAATAGAGCACGCTCCACTTCTCTCACACATCCTATTCTGGACAAATTGAGATCGCCGATTGGTCAGTTGCTGACGAGCCTACTGGA